CCAAATGAGCCACACTAGCTGGATTTATTGATGTATTTAGAACAATACATCTGCCATAGAGAAAGTGCTAAATAAATATTTTTGAAATATTGAATGAGTAATTATTATTACTAAGACCTCTTTCAGCCCTTTCTTTTATGAAGCTATAAACCTACACAAGAGGAACTTGGCCAAGTTTTTTAAAGAGGAGATGTTCTTTGTGTTGATATGAGACATCTTTGTCTTATTTAAAGAATTTCCCTTTTTTTTCTTCCTTTTCTTAAAAATTGATTTTTTAGAGAGAGTGGAAGGGAGAGAGAGATAAAAACATCAATGTGAGAAAGAAACATTGATCGGCTGACTCCTGCACTGTCTCCTACTGGGGATCGAGCCCACAACCTGAGCATGTGTCCTGACCGGGAATCGAACCAGGACCTCTCAGTTCATGGGATGACACTCAATCCACTGAGCCACACTGGCTGGGCCTCTTTTTTCCTTTTACCTAGATATTATTACTTTAAAAATCCAATACAGCCCTGGCCGGTTTGGCTCAGTGGTTAGAGTGTCAGCCTGCGGTACAGAGAAACCCGGGTTCGGTTCCCGCTAAGGGCACATACCTCAGTTGCAGTTTGTCCCCAGCCCTGGTTGGGTCGTGCGGGTGGCAACCACTCGATGTGTCCCTTTCACGTCGATGTTTCTCTCTCTCTCTCCCACCTACTCTATCTGAACAAAAAATGGAAAAATGTCCTTGGGCGAGAATAAAATAAAATAAAATGAAATAAAATAAAAATCCAATACACAAAGTATATAGATATACTTAACTATATCAGGTCTTGTCTTCCTAACTAGACTAACTCCTTGCAAGGCAGAGAATGTCTCTTCTCTACATTTTGGGGGGTAAAATTTTGACATCATACTACTTAACACATTATTTGTCTGATTCCTCCACCAAACTTGTGAGCTAGCACAATGACTGGGTCACAGTGGGCACTTAACAAGTTTTCATTGAGACAGGAACCCAAGAGAGGAAGAAGGTTTGGTCTCATATCCTACATGGAAACAATCCACTGGGGATAAAGAATCAATTGTGTTGGAAGCCATGTCTTCCTTCCTAAGGAATCTTCTGTCTATACATATGCAACTTTATGAAGTCCTGACCCCCTGCTTGGTTTGTATTGTTCAGATTTAAGAGAAGCCTAGGAAAATAAGTATTATGACTATTTTAATAATGTTTATTATTTTAATTAAAACCTATTTAAGAAACACTTCTTGGGTGCCTTCTGTGGGCCAGGTACTATACTAGGTACCAGTAAGGATATGGGAGATGATGCAGAAAGAAATAACATATGCATGGTCCCAGACCTCAGGGAACAAATGATCCAGCAGGTCCTAGATCATAGAGACAGGTATGTGCACAATAGCTATAACAATCGCAATAACTTATATTATTAAGATGTAACTATCCTGGCCAGTGTGGCTCAGTGGTTGAGCATTGACCCATGCACCAAGAGGTCACCAGGTTGATTCCCAGTCAGGGCACATGCCCAGGTTGTGGGTCAAATCCCCAGTGTGGAGGGCATGCAGGAGGTCGCCAATGATCGATGATCTCTCTCATCGATGTCTCTCTCTCTCTCTCTCTCTTTTTCATTTCCCCTCTCTCTAAAAGTCAACAAAGAAAAAACAGCCCTGGCCAGTTTGGCTCAGCGGTTGGAGTGTCGGCCTGCGGTCCGGAGAGACCCGGGTTCGGTTCCCGCTAAGGGCACGTACTTTGGTTGCAAGTTTGTCCCTGGCCCTAGTTGGTCGTGCGGGTGGCAGCCACTCGATGTGTCTCTTCACGTCGATGTTTCTCTCTCTCTCTCCCTTTCTCTCTCTCCCTCCCACTCTATCTGTACAAAAAATGGAAAAATGTCCTCGGGTGAGGATAAAAAAAAAAAAAAAAAAAAAAAAAAAGAAAAAACAAAAAAGTACACCAGAGCAGAAGAGAGACTAATCTTTGTTTTCTAGCTATTTCCCTAATGATTAGCACTTTTCATAAGAGCACAGGCATTGAAGTCATTTTGCCCATGTTTGGCTATCAGCTCTACTATTTACAGCTCTGTGACCTGGGGCAATCTCTAACTTCTATATGCCTCTGTTTCCTCTTCTGTCCAATGGGGATAATAAAAAATTTTACTCTCAGAATTTTTATCGAGGATAAAGATATATCATGCAGGGGGGGAGGATTTGGCCCACAACCTGGGCACATGCCCTGACGGCAATTGAACTGGCAACCTCTTGGTGCATGGGTCGATGCTCAACCACTGAGCCACATTGGCTGGGCTGATCTGGTTTACTTTGAATCAGAAAATAACTCCTCTTTCCTTACCCTCATGGCCATGTGCAATGTTATACCCATTTCTCTGGAGGGGAGCTTGAGATGCCTGCACTGCCCTCATGGAATCATGCATTGATGGAAATGCCCTCTTTTTTAAAAAAAAAATTGGTTTAAATCCTCACCCAAGGATATTTTTTTCCATAGGGTGGGAGGGAAGAAGGGAGAGAGAGAAACATCGATGTAAGAGAGATATATCGATTGGTTGTCTCCCATACAACCCTGACCAGGGCTGGGGATAGAACCGCAACCGAGGTATGTGCCCTTGACCAAAATCAAACCCGCAACTCTGGTCCGCGGTGGACACTCTAACCGCTAAGCCAAACCGGCCAGAGAGGAAATGCCCTCTTTAGCGTTCCGGTGAAACTCTTCATTCCTCTCAAGTCTATACGGGTCACTACAGGGATGAGAAGAATCAGGCTTTCTGGGAAGGACTTGGAGGTGGAGACTCAAGAAGGCATTTTCAAAGCTGGGAGCTAGGAGCCAGCAGAGCGAGGCTTAATTCAGCACCGTGGACAGAGGTCTCAGCGCCCTCAGGACCCTGGACAGAGAAACTGGTTGAGACGGCGGGGAAAACAAATCTCACTTGAGAGTGGATCAAGAGAAACCAGAACACTAAACTCCCTTCTCTCTCTCTCTTTTCTTCAGCCAGACCTCAGTCATCTGAATTCAGTCGTTCCTGAATCTTAGGAACAGAGTGTATACAGGGAGGGAGTGAATATATATTTTAAGGGCGCTAGTAACTGGAGGAGATAAGACTCTTAGGTGGGGAGGAGTATATAAATTAAAATGGCTTTGACTGATGTTCTCAGAGAACTCTTGCAAGATCTAAATTAGAGTCCTCAGCTGGGAGCAGGGGTTTACTAATGATGTTTGTTAATGGTACATATTTTTTAGGCTGAGTAACAAAGGGCCACCGTTGTCCTTTTTATCACCCAAAGTCCTTCCCCCATCTCTTACACTCAAGTTTTAGTCGCTTGGACAGCACTCCATGTAGGAAAGAGAAATAGTCTCTCCAGAGTCCCTTGCTCTCCTCGCCACCTTCCCCTTCCCTACCACCACTCACCTCCTTTCTCTTTCTCAAATACATACGTGCACGGGCGCACACGGGCGCAGGGAGAAAAGTACAAGAAGTTCTGCTCACTTGGTGGAGAAAATTGAATTCAGAGCAAGCGGAAACCCCCGAAAGCAGGCTCTGTCTCTTTAAATGGGTTGTAGCAGTGGGGGAGGGGAACTGGCCGGAGCTGGCATTGTCCAGTTTGAACTGAGCACCGGAAGTGAAGGGGCAGGGCCAGGGCCGTGCACTGAGCCCCGGGCCATTGTCCATCTCCAACCAGGGCACCAGCCACCCTCTGGCCAACCCTCTTTATCTCCTAGAAGGGGATGCTGCCTCTTAAAAGGAGGAGATCCCAAACTCTAGTTCTCCCACCAACCCCACTGTGGGGAGAGGAGCACGCTTTATGATGAGACTGAAACAAGGAGGGTCTGGGAACCTAAGAGTGTCCAGAATACTGGAGGAAAAGCCTGGACCCACGTACCCAGCTAGTCCCTCTCCCAGCAACTGCTGGGGACAGGATGGGGATGGAGGTAGTATTGAGGGCAGCTGGTGGAGAGAGGAACACACTTCAAGCCTCTTTGGGCTCCTTTTGCTCTCCCAGAAAGTTCCACATGGGGCCAGTTTTAGACACAGATTTGGAAGGAAAGAAGGAAGAATTCTTTACACGGAATCAATTAGGAGCGCTTTGAGATCCAGAAAAACTCAGTCAATAACTCAGGGAGGCAGAGACACACAGGTAGAGACGAACAGACTTTGCCTTGGTCGGGAATGGAAATCAGTTCTGCCGGGTCTCCAGCTTCGCCCCCGCTTCCCCATCTCAGGCTTCCTAGTATCGCGAACTCCAGGTCTATCTAAGCACACGGGGGTGGGGGGTGAGAGCGGGTCAGCGCCGAGCAGCCGGGTCAGCTCAGAGGCCTGAAGGGGAAGAGAGGGGGAGGGGCGCTAAAGGACTGGGGGAGGGGGAGGGCTCATCCATTTCTCCCTTGACAGGTGGTTTGTGTCTCTGATTGGCCAGCACTGCCTGGCTCACACCTCCCTCCCCCAACTCTCTGGAATGTATAATTATCTGCGCTGGGGGGTGGGGGTGGTGTGTGAGTATGTGTGGGAGCAGTCACATGGTTTTAAAACTAACCCCCACCACACACGCACAGTACCCCCACCTGTATGCTGCTTTGGGGACCCCCAATGAATCCTTAAAGTGAAGGATTCCAAATTCCCGGGTACTCAAGACTTCTAGGGCTGACGGCCCCTATTTCCAGATGTGTGTGTGGGGAGGGGGTGTCAAACCTCAAGATTCTGAGAAGGGACACCCCAGAGGTGTCAGAGAACGCAGAGTGGGGGAGGGCAGGAGCTGTAGTTGGAGGGAAAGGGAGGGGAAAGAAGAGGGAGGAGAGGGAGGGGGCTGCCCGCGGGGGGTTGGGTCATTGTCTTTTAGAATTTGGGAGCCTTTGAAAAGCCGTGAGCCCTCCCACCGCTATTGTGCTGGGGAAGATGTAGCAGCCTCTTCTCTGAGCCTCCCCTTTGCCTCCGGACTTCTCTGGGGCCAGCAGCCGCCCGACCTGGGGCCCGGGGCCGCGGGCTTAGCAGACTACCATGGGCTCCGTGTCAAACCAGCAGTTTGCAGGTTCGAGCTTGGTACTTATTGGGGACACCCTAGGCTGCAGGGGCACCCAGTAGCCACTTAAAAGGGAGGTGGGAAAGTGTCCTCCAGGCTGGCGGAAGGACCCCAAGTCTGTGCGGCCTCCTGCTTCAGGGGGCCATCCCTGAAGCAAAGAACGCTGGTGTCCCAGTGGCGTGCACATAGAGGTTACGGGGCCAGGGGGAGAGAAGAGGATCGGCCTGCCCGGCCGTCTGTCCTCCGGCAACGTGTTGTGGGAAAAGGAGCAAAACTTTCGGGGCAACAGTGGCCTCAGTGTAAGCTTGGGGAGCGCGGGAGGTAGTTGGGACAGGTCTTTAATCGCCGGCTGCTTGGTAGCTGTAGCCTCCTGGGTGTTCATTCGCGGGCAGGACACTCGGGTCTCTCTGCTGGGTCTCTGAGAGGGTCCTCCAGTTCCGTGGCCCCCCAGCTGAGCGCCCTCCCAATCTCCAGGTGGCTGCGCCAAGGCGCCGGAGGAGGCGCCGGAGGACGCGGCCCGGGCGGCAGAGGAACCGCAGCTGCTGCACGGTGCCGGCATCTGTAAATGGTTCAACGTGCGCATGGGGTTCGGCTTCCTGTCCATGACCGCCCGCGCCGGGGTCGCACTCGACCCACCGGTGGATGTCTTTGTGCACCAGGTGAGACCGATTCTGGTAACTTTAAAAGGAGGGGGATGTTGGCGCGCGTATTCAAGGGTGGACGGACATACTCGGCTATTGGATTGAGGGAGATCAGGGGCCCTCATTGTGCGTTCCCATCTTGGCGGTGGTACCCCTGATCTGAGTCCTGGTTAACTCCAACAGCACGAGAGAGGCAGAGCAGATTATCAGCACCTCCCACCCCCTTCCGGGAACCCTTCTGGCTTACCACGTGTTTGTTACCTCTTTCCCCTGGGAAGGGGGCAGGGGCAGGGAGGTGACCCCATGTGGCAGAAACTAAGGTTGTATTGTGCTTGCCGGTGGGGGGAGGGCGAGCAGGCCGGCCAGGGAAGCACATGCCCGGCCATAACAGGGCCCTGAGCGCCCAGGGCCTTTCACTAACATGTGAATGGAGCTCCTGGCCGGGAGAGGGAGGACAACGTTCTGCGATCCAAGGAGGGTAAAGCTACGAAGTCAGCCAGGTCTCTTCACCCAGGTGGTCACACAAAACTTGATCCCTGCGGCCTAGGTGGGTTTGGCAGATCCTTAAAGGGTCTATTTTGGGGCTTGAAAGCTCCTCCAAATCACCTCTTAGGCATACAGTTTACTGACTGGGCTTTTGCTGTCCAGTTCCGCCCAGAAAGGAAAACCTAAGGATAAGGAACCCAGGCCTTAGACCTCTGGGCCAAGCGTGGAGGGAGTTAGGTCGCAACCCCAAGTTCTCAGTTAAAGCAAGGCAACAGTGGGGGTGAAATTCAGTGTCGCAGGGCAGGGGGTCGAGGGAGGCTAGCCTTTGGACCTATTCTCCTCAGCTTGGCATTTATGGCCCCAGACAGCCATTCATTGCTGTCCTAACATTCCCAGCCTCAAATAAGGAGCCAGAGACTTCAGGTTTCCCTCCTCCCTGGCCTCTCTCTCACCCCTTCCTAAATATCTTAGAAGCCTTCCGGTGGTTCTGGGACACCAGCCACCCATAACGACCATGTAAAGGAAGTTGTTTCCTGTGTCCTTTCCACCTTTGGAAGTTTGGAGCTGGGTGTGCAAAGAAGAAATTGCTAATCCCAGGCCAAGTAGGTTGGCACCCAGGCTGGGCAGAGGGGGTTACTTCAGAAAGGTTGACTTTAGAAGCCATGGGGGAGGGGAAAGGAGGATGTGGAGATTAAGGATTGGAACCTGAGGGATGTTATACTGCAGGGGGAGGGGTGGAGAAGGGAGATGCTGGGTGGACAGGTTGGAGGCTCTCATTAAGGACATAGAGTGGAGGGGAACAAGGGACATAGAGGATGGAAGGAGATGGAGACCTGCCAGTTAATATTGGTGACTTGGGTCACTGGGTTGCTTGAACATCTGCTAGAAGGGTCTGCAGCAGGATACTTACTTACCCCCTTGTAGCACCCGTTCTTAGCCCCCATCAGGCAACTAGTTCTAGTTAGTGACATTGCCCCCTTTCCTGTCTCATTTACATATGTGTTTGATAACCCACAGGAAGTAATTGTGGGAGAAAGAACGGAATTGGCCCCTTTAGGTCTATTAAATCACTTTATTACAGGAACCAGCTTTGAATGGCCCTCCTCAGCAGGGTAGCAGCTCCCCCACTCTCCCATTTATCTGATCACAAAGAGATTAAAATCCTTCCTGATCTGGAGAGGGACTAGACAGCTTCTCCAACTTTGGGAGGCTTGAAATAAGTCAGAACCAACATTTTCTTGCCTTCATTCCTAAGGCTGCTAAATAGGGAGGGCTTGAGGGGAACTTAACCCCATCATCACCTGGGGTTTCTTGGTGATATAGGGGAGGAAGAAACTTTCCTCTACCCCCCAGGTTCTTTCGGCTGATCTAATCAAGTAGACAGATTAGCAAGGAAGAATAACTAAATTTAACATATATGTATGGGAACCCCACATATACAAGAGTCAGAGACCCCACATCCACAAGAGTTTTAAAGATATAAAGGGAGCATAGTTGTGTAAGACATTCTGAGCTAGGAATGAGGTAAGGTACCTTGGGGGCTTCAAAGGGTTATTGCAGGAAGATAAGAGCAGATGTTTAGTAAATAGAAGTTTGTCCTGCTCAACAGATAGGTCAAGAGAGGTTATCTCTGATACTCTTACTATAGGCAAGGCCCCTAATTCAAGTTCTTATAGATAGGGGCAGAAGTCTCTCTTGAGCCTGCAGCTTTATCTTGGAAATAATCCACATACCACAGAGGCAACTCTTGGTGTGACTAGTTCTTAACTCCCACAGTGATAACCAAATCCCAGGGGAGGTTTTCCTGAGCAAATGGATCTGTGCCTCAGGGCACTTCACCTTAGGATCCAAAGCAATTGGAATATTAGATGGCATAGAGGAAAGTAGGAACTTTCAGGTTTGGGGAGTGGAGCCCATACCATGTTTCAGATGGGTTACTTAGGAGATAATCTGGATTTCAGAGTCTTGGAATGTTCAGGGACATTCCTCAGTTGAATAAGTTATCTGGAGGGAGTTGAGTTGGGTTAAGAATCAAGAATTTGTTAGGACCAACAGTCACATGACAGTGACTGAGCCTTACTTGATAGGTCTTGATAGCACACTGCCTGGGCTTGAAGTAATCCTCAAACCCTACCACAGCGGTAAGTTAGACTAGCGATTTCAGTCCCTGCACTTGAGAAATTTGGAATATTTTTCTGGAAATCTAATGTAGAGGAATTAGGTAGGTGCAGATGATCCCTAAAAATTGTCCTGGGGGAGGAAAGTTCCCAAAGAGTAAGAAGGGTAAGACATTTCTCTTTAAGAACAAAAACTCTCCTTTGGCTGCTGGTAGTGGGTACCCTGGAGTTGGGGTACAGGTAATGAGAAGGAAATAATTGTCCTAAGAAAACACCTGCCCGGGGAAGTGGTCTGGGAGCCCCTTTCTTTTTTTTTTTTTTTTTTTATCCTTACCCGAGGACATTTTTTGATATTTTGTTCAGATAGAGTGGGAGGGAGAGAGAGAGAGAGAAAGAGAAACATAGATGTGAAAGGGACACATCTAGTGGTTGCCACCCGCACGACCCAACCAGGGCCGGGGACAAACTGCAACCGAGGTACCTGCCCTTATCGGGAACCGAACCTGGGTCTCTCTGGACCACAGGCTGATGCTCTAACTGCTGAGCCAAACCGGCCAGGGCTGGGAGCCCCTTTCTAAGGAGAGAGGAAGGGGTGAAGCAATTTCACATTTTCTTTTCCCTTTACAAGTGGGCCTATTTGGTGCCTAACACTGTTCCTGCTGTTCTTATGCTCCCTCTCACTTTATGCCCCCAGGTATGAATGAATGAGAGAAAAAAAATCCACCCTTAGCCTGGGGTTAAGGGAATTTAAGAATCATAATTGCAGATGGCCAGCCCTTAAATCCAGGTTCTCAATCACTATTGACATAATTTGAAAAGGATTAATTTCTCTTTATGGACATCCTTCAATTGTGACAACCAAAATGTCTCCAGACATTACCAAATGTCCCTGGGAGGCGAAATTACCCCCAGTAGAGAAATACGATTACACAGGGAAAGCTGGAGCAAGAAAGAGTTAAACTGTCTCAATTTCCTGAGATTCTGAAATCCGAATGGCCATTTTAAGAGTTTTGGTTTAACTCATGTTGTTTCCTGTGGCTCAACTCTCAAATCCCCAAAATTTGAAAATGAGAACAAGGCTCCCTGCTTTCTCTTCAGAACCCAAGTATATATAAATTTATTTTAGAGAGAGGAAGGGAAGGAGAGAAAGAAGTGTTTCTTGGCAGGTGTGACTCTGGATTGAGTGTTGTCCCATGTACTGAGAGGTCCCCATTGGATTCCTGGTCTGGGCACATGCCCAGGTTACAGGCTCGATCCCCAGTGTGGGGTGTGCAGGAGGCAGCCGAGTGATGTTTCACTCTCACACTGATGTTTCTATCTCTCTCACCTTTCCTTTCTCTCTCTGAAAAATCAATAAAAACATATTTAAAAAAAAATAAATATTGATGTGAGAGAGAAATGATTGGTTGCCTCCCGCATGTGCCCTTACCGGGAATTGAACCCACCACCTTTTGATATGGGACAACACTCCAATCAACTGAGCCACACACCGGCCAGAGCCCAAACATTTCAAAAATAACTTTCTGGCTAAAAGGCTGTATTAGGAAAGTTTGGAGGCAAAAAGAAGAGCCTGAATTTGACCAAGGGACCGAGTTTGGGTCAGGAGAAAAAAATTTTCCAGACTGATAAACTGTTGAAAGTGCTGAAGCCAGGTGGCCTGAAGATGCGTGAACGGCAGGCAGAGTCTAAGTTAGAACTTTTGGAGAGTGGGTGGCGGTGGTGGTATTTGTGTCGAGGTCTTTCACCTGGTTTATAACATTTCTGGTGCCTCTGATTACTCACCTCATGTCTAGTTAGTGATGTATTTGTGTTATTCTCTCCTCTCACTAACTGTAAGCTCCTTTAAGAGAGGGACTAGCTGTCTAGTTTTTAGTTCATAGTTGGCAGGCTGACAATGAATGTGAAGAGGCCAGTTGCTCCAGAAGAAATAGTACACAGTTTGTGGTCCTTTCTGGATGGATTGGAAGCTACGGGTTTGGTGGTTCATTCATTTTTTATTTACATCTTAATAGGGTAAAGCAATTTTTTTTTTTTTATCCTCACCTGAGGACATTTTTCCTTTTTTTTTTTGTTCAGATAGAGTGGGAGGGAGAGAGGGAGAGAGAGAAACACGGACGTAAAAGGGACACATCGAGTGGCTGCCACCCGCACAACCCAATCAGGGCCGGGGACAAACTGCAACCAAGGTACGTGCCCTTAGAGGGAACTGAACCCGGGTCTCTCTGGGCCACAGGCCAACGCTCTAACCGCTAAGCCAAACCGGCCAGGGCGTAAAGCAGATTTTTAAAAAATGAGTGAATCACTTTGACTTTTAAGGAAGTTGCTAGAGAAGTGCCTGGGTTAGGTTGAGCATTATGGGGTCCTCTTGGGTCCTTTTCTTCCTGAGGAGACATGCTTTCTACAGTGTTCCAAAAT